GGAATGATCGATTAGAAAAATTACGGAAAAAAGCTAGGAAACTATTCAACCGTGCAAAATTTACTTCAAACTGGTCTCAATATAAAGAGGCGTTAACTGAATATAACAGAGAAATAAGAAGATCCAAGCGGAAAGATTGGAGACACATGTGTGAAAACATAGAAAACACTCCTGAAACTGCAAGACTTCAAAAAGTTCTCTCAAAAGATCATCCTAACGGTCTTGGAACTCTCAAAAAGACTGACGGACATTTTACTGAAAACTCAAAAGAAACTCTGGAACTGATGATGCAAACCCATTATCCAGGGTCCCTTCCTACTGATGATCAACTACAAAATCATGATTGCATGCAAAATGCCACATCTTCAGGCCGTGGTGAACGTGATAGATCTACCGAAACAAATGTTTCACTATGTGGGCTAGAAATGTCAAATGAAGAGGCTGAAAACTTTGCCATTAGAATATTTACAAACTCAATAATTGAATGGGCGATAGATTCTTTTAGTTCTTTCAAATCCCCTGGCCCAGATGGAATTTTTCCAGCACATATTCAAAATTGTAAATCTATAATAATTCCTGTTTTAGTTAAATTGTTCATGTCTAGTTTCTTATTGAGATACAACCCAAAAAAATGGAGACAAGTCCGAGTGGTATTCATACCAAAGGTGAACAAAAGAGATAAATCTTCATCAAAATCATTTAGACCAATAAGCCTGTCATCAATATTTTTGAAATTAATGGAAAAACTCATAGATGAATATGTCAAATCAGAAATACTTCTTAATAAACCATTATGTAAAGGGTGATACGGTCAAAATTTGGTCAATATCAACTTGACGTATTGCTTTCAATTTTGCATTTAAAAAACCTGAACACCCCTCATTTTGAAGGTGTGTGTGTGTGTAGAATGTTGCTCCTATTTTGATTTTGGAATTCACTCTTCAGTTGTCAAAATGCCGTCCAAGCAAGAAGAGCAGCGTATCAAAATTTTGCTCGCGCATCGCGAAAATCCGAGCTACTCGCACGCAAAGTTGGCAAAATCGCTAAAAGTTGCCAAATCAACCGTTACAAATGTAATTAAAGTGTTTGGGGAACGTTTGTCGACAGCCAGGAAGTCTGGATCGGGGGGAAATCGAAAACCGGAAGCCGCTGAGACGACAAAGAGAGTTGCCGGTAGTTTCAAGCGAAACCCTAACCTCTCTCTCCGAGATGCCGCAAATAAGCTGGGTGTATCGTCTACAACCGTGCATCGAGCCAAGAAACGAGCCGGACTATCGACTTACAAGAAGGTAGTGACTCCAAATCGCGATGATAAACAAAATACGACGGCCAAAGCGCGATCCCGGAGGCTGTACACGACGATGCTGACGAAGATTGACTGCGTGGTAATGGACGACGAAACCTACGTCAAAGCCGACTACAAGCAGCTTCCGGGACAGGAGTTTTATACGGCAAAAGGAAGGGGAAAGGTAGCAGATGTTTTCAAGCACATAAAACTGTCAAAGTTCGCAAAGAAATATCTGGTTTGGCAAGCCATCTGTACCTGTGGCTTGAAAAGCAGCATTTTCATAGCTTCCGGGACTGTCAACCAAGAAATTTACGTGAAAGAGAGTTTGAATAAACGTCTGCTGCCTTTCCTGAAGAAACACGGTTGTTCCGTACTGTTTTGGCCGGATTTGGCATCTTGCCATTACGGTAAAAAGGCCATGGAGTGGTACGCCGCCAACAACGTGCAGGTGGTTCCCAAGGACAAGAACCCTCCCAACACGCCAGAGCTCCGCCCAATTGAGAAATACTGGGCTATTGTCAAGCGGAACCTAAAGAAGACCAAAAAAACTGCTAAAGGCGAGCAGCAGTTCAAGGCAAACTGGCTTTCTGCGGCGAAGAAGGTGGACATGTCATCCGCAAACCCAATTATGTCATCCGCAAACCCAATTATTTCGAATCCTTGGTGCTTTAGTTTTATAAGAAGGTCATCAACAACTAGGGACCACAGAAGGGGAGAAAGAACACCTCCTTGAGGACAGCCTTTTACAGCTGTTACTTTCACTACTGAATCTCCTAGATTAGCTGATATTTCTCTTTTGGATAGCATTTCTACAACCCAGTTGATTATGTTTTTATTAAAACCACGATTTCTCATGGCGCTTATCATCGACGTGAAAGATGCATTATCAAATGCACCTTCAATATGAAGAAACGTTGCTAGTAGAATGTCCTTAGCCGCAAAGGATTTTTCTATTTTATTAATAAGTGTATGAAGAGCTGTTATTGTTGACTTGCCTGACTGGTAAGCAAACCCGTGGAAAATTCGATAAAGTTGTTTCCGAAAGAATGCAAAAAGCATTAAAATTCACACTGTCGTGGTGCAAAGATGAGGGATTGAATATCAATCCTACAAAAACAACTATTGTACCTTTTACTAAAAGACGTAAAATCTCTATCAATGATCTTAAACTAGGAGACGTAAAGCTGTCCCTATCTTTAGAAGTAAAGTTTTTAGGAGTAGCTTTAGATAGTAAACTCTGCTGGAACAAACATATTGATCAACAAATAGGAAAGCAGGGTGCCTTCCATTCATTTTGACTAAAAAAATGTTTTAGAAAATTATGGAATAATAAGATATTATGGTGGTATTTTGTATGCGTAAGGAACAAGAAAAGATTTTAAAGTTTGTGTTTGACACATAAAACCTGCAAATTTAGCTTTGACAGAGCCACAATGAGCGATTTTCTGTTCGCCTCTTCGCGAAGAGTGAAGAGCGAAGAGTGGGTGAGATAAATAACAAAATCGCTTATTGCCACTCTCATGCAGCATCATTGGCTGGTATTATGTGTCAAACACAAACTCCACAATCTTTTCTTGTTGCTTACACAAACAAAATATTATAATAATATCTTATTATTCCATAATTTCATAAAACATTTTTTATAGCCAAAATGAATGGAAGGAACCCTGAGGAAAAGCAACAAATGCTTTTTGGACCTGCAAAAGAACGTTTGGAAAAAAATGGGGTCTGAAGCCAAATATGATACACTGGATATACTCGGCTATAGTTAAACCCAGGATTACCTACGCCTCACTTATATGGTGGCCGAACTAAGCAACAAACGGCACAAGTCAAACTAAACAAGCTACAAAGGCTTGCTACTATTTCCATAACTGGAGCAATGCGTAGTACTCCCTCTACAGCCTTGGATGCTTTACTCAATATCCTTCCTCTTCATCAATTTATTCAACTGGATGCAGAGAAAAGTGCTCTAAGGCTCAAACGGTCCATGAATTTCTTCGATGGAGATCTTATTGGACATTTGAGCATTCTAAAAGAGTTTAAGATAAGTCCATTAATATTGATGAACGAAGATTGCATGCTAAAGCGACATTATTTCAACCATAATTTCCAAGTTCCTGGTGTGACTCGCGTTGACTGGGATGCAGGAAGACTGAATATTAGTCCTGGATCATTAATCTTTTATACAGATGGCTCGAAACAAGATAATATGGTCGGGGCTGGTATTACCGGCCCTGGGGTTAACTTTTCGGTGTCCATGGGAAATTGGCCGACAGTATTTCAAGCTGAAATATATGCCATCTTAGAATGTGCAGCGATTTGTATAAAAAGAAACTATAAAAATGCGAATATATGCATTTGTTCAGATAGTCAAGCGGCGCTGAATGCTTTGAAATCAAAAACTTACACGTCAAAACTGGTGTGGGAATGTACTAAACTATTACAGCAACTGTCCTGTCGAAATACGGTTAACCTTTATTGGGTTCCTGGTCATTGTGGAATCGAAGGAAACGAAAAAGCTGATCAATTGGCAAAAATAGGGTCATCCACGAAATTCATCGGTCCTGAACCATTCTTTGGACTTTCTTTTTGTGCTTTAAAAATGGAGCTAAAAAACTGGGAAAAAACAAAGGTACAGTACAACTGGACCAGTACCTTAAATTCTCGGCAATCTAAACGTTTTATAAAGCTGAACGCTTTTCATACACAAAAGTTACTTAATCTTTCAAAAAAAGATTTGAGTACATACACTGGTTTGATAACAGGACACTGTTTTTGTAAATATCACCTGAAAATCATTGGTAAACTTCATGAAGATAAATGTCGCTTTTGTAACTTAAAGAGTGAAAGCTCTGAACATTTGCTGTGTGACTGTGTTGCACTATTTCATAAACGATGCAGATATCTTGATAAGGGTCTGATGAGACCTTGGGAAATCTGGGCTGCTGCTCCCAATCAGGTAATAAATTTCATAAGGAATGTATTACCTGCTTGGGATGATTGCTTACAACAGTAGTGGTAGTTACTCAAACAATAGTGGCTTACCGCTACGTTATGGCATAATTAAAAAGAGGATACACCACAATAGATCAAATTAATGGTCGCGGTGGTATTATGTCCCCAACATAGGAAAAAAAAAAAAATTTAATCGAATAATTGAACCACTAGATAGCCATCGTTTCAGGAATCTAAGCATAATTGAAAGATGTTTGCTAGTCAACATGTATGTACTATCCAGATTATCGAAAAATGGCAAATCAATCAAGGTACGCATGTCGCCTTCGGGGGGCACCGTTCAGTACGGGAGAGTTTACGACCCACCACTAGAAGTCACGGATAATGATCTATCGTTGGTGCTGGGGAATAAGGCGATGTGAAGCATGTCATTCTGGAAAAAATCCCTGCCGCCTTGTGCCTCAATATGTTGACAGTTGCACGGGGAATTTACATATACGTAAAAAATGAGATTCCAGACTCTCTGCATTTCCTCATTTGCAAGGGATATTCTACCAAGTGAACAAAAACAATTAGATTCCCCACAAGAAAAGCCACCGATCAGTATTATTCCTGTATGGTACCATCTGGTTTGTTTGCCAATTAGATCAAGGATAATTTCGGTCAGGCTCAGAAAGTTGACAACTGTGTTTCACGATTTATTAGGAACAGATCTAATGGAGAGAACAGAACTAGTTTTCAATATATACTCATAATAATTCATCGATATATTATCTTCATGTAGCCAGATCATTTCCTTTCCGTTTATCACCCACCCATTTAGATCAAACTAGCTCTGTTGGCGATGTAGCACTGCAACAGCGTGAATGAACGTTCACAAGCGTTGGCACCGCTGTTGTTCCTGCACCTTTGAACCACTTCTTCGGCCTTGGCACGGTCGTATTCATTGGACAACTTTTCGGTAACGTATGCCTCCTGCATTGTTCCTTCAGAATCGACAACTCCGGCACCCTGGAAGAAGCACTGTACGAAGCATCTGGTCGTTTCGTCAGCATTGGATGTATCTCCATTGCGAAGACGCTGGACGGATTCCTCCGAGGTGCCAGTCTGATCCATGCACTTTCTAGCCAACTGGCGGGCAGCTTCTTTCTGTTCCTCAGTGACGGCCTGGAAGAGGTGAAAATTACAATCAATATCAGTTCAATGGACAAAAAATGGTTTCTTCGTTTTAACAAACCATGCACCCGGCAACCAGGGCAAGGGAAATGATGGCAACGAAGGATTTCATTTTTAGTTTCAGTTTGTTTTCACGCTGAAATGACACTGGTTGACTGATGATATATCGGTGCGCAGAAGTTATTTTTATAGTACCATGAATCGTCCGATAATTGTTTGATAGTTGCCACCTGAGGTTAATCATCATGTGCAAATTGTTCGTTCATTGTTCGGCCGCTGACAATTAAAGTGAAACACTTTGATTAATTTTAAGTGACGGTCGTTATCGCTAACCAACACAAAGCGTGTGGTAGTTAAATAACTATTCGCAATAATCGGTAAACTTTAGTTAGTTAAATTATTAATAAGAATGAGTGGAGAACATTTAATTAATCAATGCTGATTGAAACTAGTGAAGTTTGGATTGATCCCTTCCAAAACAAGTAAACCAATTAATGATTAAGCATGTTCACACCTACTTGAGAAGATTTGAAGGATTAATATTTTTAACACAAAACTACACCGTGGCAGTTCAAATACCGTCTAAATTCGGTCTCTTGCTCAGTAAATAATGATTTAAAAAAAATTGCGTTATGGCAAATTGATAACCTGTACGTTTGACATTTGTCATGACCCAACATCTAAAGTGCCCAGTCCAGTTTGATTCAATTTACGTCAGCAAAGTATCTTCCACTAACGCCGGTCTACTCGGAATTCAATTTGCCTGTAAACTTTAAATCGTTTGATCTACTTAGGAACTTGCTACTCTTCAACAACACCGGGTGATGAAAGTTTTCGGGCACACTAGAAATGGAAAAAAAAAACTTTCCCTCCAGGCCTCTCCAACTGAATCAGTGCCGGTTGGTTTCTCGTCGAAAGTTTTCTTTTCATTTAAATCCTGCGATCTACCTTTGGGTCCGTTTCAACTTTGAGTTCAAGTTTATAAGGCAAAAGAAGACAAACCCTCTATTGAGAAAGCTGGTAAATGAAATTCGGAAGCTGCCAACGCAAATTGGAATTTTCATTCTTCCAGAAAGGAGAAATCTACTCAGAAGTCATGCTCGCGTCGGAGAATTGATGGAACTGTTTGCTCTGTAGAGGCTACCCACCTGAATCAAACTCATCAAGTGGAAAAGTTTTTTTTTTCCACTCGATCCTTTCAAAGCGGATATCAAACATTTCCCGCGAAAAGCTGCTTTTTCTTGGACCTTGTTTGTTCATGCCAGAGTTCATTAGGGTTCTTTGCTTTCTAATTTACTTTTATTGAAAGCGGAGTCTAAAAGGTTTCACCAATCATGTCCATACGGCTGGGTGTTGCTCGTGTACCGAGAATTTTTGTGGTACCTAGAGTGTAATAGCTTTTTTGTCGGCCCCAGCCAGCGTTGCCGGCCGAAATTAGCCCATGCATTCGAGAATGGCCTCATGCTGGATGCCTATACCACACACCACCAGGCCACTAGGGCGATTGAGTAATTCCTCGCTTCATGGGCCAGCATCTTTCTGCGGGACCAGATAAATCAAGGAAAAAAGGCATCCAAAAAGTAATTTCACGGACGGTGATTTTCTAATCTGTTTACACTAATGTGCATATTCTTATGGGTCATCACGGAAGAAAGGAGTTGGTGAAAATGGTCGTTTGCTCTTTCAGGCGTATAGCAGAAGTAATTTTGTCGTTGTTCGGTGGATAAGCAGGGGACCTTCGCCAGATATTCGAAACTGCTTTCTTTGTGTTCCAGTTCTCAGATCGATAGCGATAAGTTGGCCTAGGGGTTTAGTTCGGAAGTCCATCGAATGGCTACGAACGGTTGACGTGATGTTTTTCGTGCTAAAGATACTTCAGTAATGTACAAAGAAAAATATTAGTCATACGAACATGTGAAATCTTCATACTGTAATGGCTCCAAATCCAAACCACATAACCAGATTTTGTTAAAAGTTGATCTTAGATGCATTAAATAGATAACCTTGTTTAGAAAAGGTGACGAGTTGCCACATTTTTGGAACAGCTGGGGAAGCAGGAACAACTCCAACCCGGTTTTTTAGTTTATGTAGACTCTTCGCAGAATGAACGCAATAGGAAGATCATATCCTCGGCAACATTTTCAGCAATTTTCCTCCACTTTTGTTGCAGTCAGTCAGTCCTTTTAACGTTAATGTAAGCCTTTCTTTCAATGAAGGGTATATATATAGCTTGGAAAACCAACTTCCGATCTGAGACCCGCAGGGCTGAGTGTCATATACCATTCAGCTCAGCTCGACGAGATAGGAAAATGTAATTTACCGTGACAACATCACAGAACCACACCGGAAGAACAACTGTTAGTTACCAAAAAACGCATACCTATGCGATTCAAGCAACAGTTTATTTATTTTATTTATTTATATATCAACGTGTTCAGCTATGCTGTACAGACTACCACTCATTGTAGTCTGATAGCTGTGGACTCTCCTCACTGTTGAACTTGATAAAGCTTAATAGCCTCTGATTTTCATCAGCAAATCACGTATGAAGGGCCAAAAACGAATGGATGGATTGATGGGCAATTCATCTATTCATTTCCTTTGGACAGTTAAGAATCTTCTTCCAACAACTTGATCAGCCAATTAGTCAGAAAACAAGCCATCCAACGGGAAGATGCCCCAATGAATGTAGGGAAGAGCCTGCCATTTATCCATGAAATATTAGTAACAGGGAATGCAGGCACTCAATCACTCTGTTTATCAAGAACCGAGGAACTCCCTTACCTGAACTGTAAATAACCGTGATGATTGTTATAAATTATGAATATGTTAAAAAGTGGGTTGTATACCTTCTAAAATGTCTGGTAATGACGTCAATGAAACTCGATCGAACACTTTTTCGATATCGAGTGACATTAAAAGTAATGGCCTACCCTCATTCCAATTTTCTTGCAACACTCGCTGCAAGACATGTAGATGGTCTGTTGTAGATCGCCCTGGTAAAAAGGCTGATTGATGGCTGCCGATGGGTCCAACAAATGACTGCAGTTTATGCAAAATCCAAGCTGCATAGATCTTGTATGTCGTACATGTCAAACTAATGCGACGGAAATCATCAACTGATTTCGGATGCTTGACTTTTGGTATAGGAACCAAAACTACCTTTTTCCACTCTACGGGAAGCTCATTGGAATTGAATACCTCAACCAACAATTGATGAAGCTCCTTAAGGGTTTTCTCGTCACAATATTTATAGTACTCCGAATACAGATTATCGACGCCTGAGGCCTTTCCGTTCTTCATTTTGGCCAGTATCTGAGTTATTTCATCGATAGTAGGTGGATCAACGGTGGGTGAAGCCACGGGAATTTCATCACAAGTTGGAATCAACGACTCGCCGGAATCTTCTTGAATCCAATCGTCTATTTTAATAATGTTTGAGGTGCCAGCATTGTTTTTCTTTTTTAACGTTTCAAATACTTGTAAGTTCGATTGATCCTTTGACCTACAGGAAACTTATGAAGGTTTTCAAAGAAACTTATTATTTCATTCTCCTCGTCATTTCTTATCATTGTCTTTAAGGGGAAGCTCACCGGCCCAAAAATAAAAAAATATTTTTGGTACGTTTTTATTTTTCTAAAAATATTGGGACAAATTATCAAAAATCCAAGAAAATCAGTTTCTTCCTTAGATTTTTGTCAAAAATAAAATGCAAAAAAAAAATTTCCATCCCATCATGAAAAAAAATTGGACTCTCAGAAAAACCGAAAAGTTGATGTTTTGTGGTTTTTTGAGTCCAACTTTATGCCATAATGACTTATAAAACATGTTTTTGCACGTGAATTTTCTTTAAAAAATTAGAAAAATGTGATTTTTTTAGATTTTTGATACTTTTTTTTCAATATTTTTAGAAAAATCAAAACGTAATTATTTTTTTCGAAGCGGTGAACTTCCCCTTAAATCAGCTTTTGCTTCGGCAAGTTTGTACGCCCATTTCAGATGATAAGAACGTTGAGCCCAAAACGTACACCTTTTTACACGAGCTAATGCCAATCGGCATTCCCGGCTGGATGGCAGACTGATGGAACGCTTCAATATAGTCTGTTGCAGTGGTGACTGGATTTTTGGGAATATTTTGAGTCGCACTTTGATGGTACGCTAACGAAAAACAACGAACTTTTTGGTTATTTCACGCCTAGAAAGCTATTGAGTTTAACATATTTGGAAACAAAAAAGGTGTACCATTTGAATTTAAACACGTCTCAAAATCATTTTCAATCTAATTCATACTTGGAAAACCACATAATTGTTCACAAATAAGTAATTAAGAATTGCTTGCATAATTGCAAATATTTTGCAAAACTATTTTTATACGTGTTTCGAGTAGAATGCAATGAGAGTGAAAAAATCGTGTTTTGTGACTCGAACAGACAATAAAAAGCCAATGTTTTCGTATTCACTTCGGATAAGCATAACTGTCACTTTGACAACTCTATCTGTCATACGCATGGCCCGCACTTATTTCATCCCCACACTTTCAAAGTGCGGAGTCCAGTAAGGTGCAAAATGCGCAATACTGCCGTAGTTGCTAAATTTATCTTCTCTTTAAGGTCTTTCCAACCCGTCTCTACGTCGATTGATTCATGAGAGGCAGATCCGAGATTTTTTAGGTTGTCAGCATAATTTTTCTGAACAATTTTGTTCTGCAAAAGTGTTGGATCAACATGGTGTCGTGGTCGTGGAGGAACTGGAGTCTTGATAAACGGGGCTGTTATAGCAGACTGATTCTCCACAATGTTAAACATAAGAATCTTGTGGTCGGTTTGTATATCACCTGGTTTGGTACACTGCATTCGCTTCAGGAAAAAAAAAAAACGAATACCGGTGGTCAATATGTGATCAATTTGACTAGATCGATTCCCACATGACCAGGTCCGCTTGAAACTAGAATTGGCCTTAGTGCTTCTTACCACCAACGAGTGCAGGTTCAAGAAAAAAAAACGCATTTGCTGACCATTTTCGTTAAATTGCTCGTGTCCTACAAACTTGCGAATAAGAATTTGTTCATCAATGGTTAAGGTGTTTGAACCGAGCTGGCTGTTAAAATCTCCAGCGATTATTAAACTTCATGGGTCTTTGA